CACGGACCATCGGGGGTGTGAGCTTTTCCCCCCCACGGACTACCAAGTTCCTGAGAGTCCACAGAGTCCACATGACGGCTCCGCGCAAACTCTCCTCCGCATATGTTAGAGGGGTATTGTAGTGCTGTCTACGAGATGCAGCCACCCAAAGGATAAAATTGTCGTTCCAGCGTATCTCCGGCTGCGGCACCGGGACCACTCCCGAGCGCCACCAGTCCCATAGAGGTCTCGAGAGGTCACAATGAAGACAGAAATGTTGCAGATCTTCAATCCGAACCCCGGGGCATTGGGCACAAAGGGGAGAGGCCTTCAATGTTCTTTTAGCACACCACAAAGCAGTGGGCACGGCCATATGCGCCACCAGCCACAAAAAACTTGCTTGCTTGACCGCAGGCAGTTCCATCAACAGTTTCCAATGTGCCGGCAGAGCTCGGGAGAGCCTCGTGTGAGTGTCTTGTATCCACCCGTCGACATCCATCTTTTGGTGACCTTCCAATTGACATCAACCTTCGGGCGAGAAATCTGGTAACCCAAACGTGTGCTGTATCGATACAATGGGACACTATCTTTATTAGAAGGTCCCAGTGGCCATTGCCAATTCCTAGGGTCCACCGGCAAGTTATACGATGGTGTAGGTAGAGAAAAGTGGCGAACAGAGTCTGGATACTCCAAGACGCACACAGGCAACAAATCCGCCAAAGGCGGCTGCAGGGGGGTCTCAAATTGCGCCTGGATCAGCGGCGGGCCTTGCAACGTAGTCCCAGTCAACGGCGATGTCTCCCAACATGAGACCTGCACATTCAGCGGGTCTGCAACCGATTCTATCCGCCACAAAAACGAAGGAGCATAATCCTGTGTTCTCTTGAACCATGCACCTTGTGCATTTTGCCCGAACTGCAATTCGAAACTGTATCTTGGCCCCTATTAGTGCAATTACAACTCATTTTTGTGACTCGGGCGTAGTTTCACCTTCTTTGTTTCTTGTTTCTGTCTTGTTCTTTCTTTGCATTTCTGAGTTCCTCTTATATTTGGGGAAAAAAAAAAAGAAAAAAAAAAGACACCTTTGCCCCTAGAGATAGACCACTGGATCCCCCGATCAGCATTGAGCAGAGTCTGCTGATGTTCGTAGGGGAGGGGACCTGAGTGGAGGCACAGGGATTGGTCCTGTTGGCATGGTCCCTGATGCTACTGGCTGTGCCCTAGCCGGTATCGCCCACCTGCAGGTCGGGAGCAGCCCTTGCATGTTCTCTCGTGAACACGGTTCTGGCTTCTACGGGGTTCCCCGCATGCCTACAATTAGGAGTAGTCGTAGGTAGGTAGTGTGAGGTGAAATTGAGAGAAGAACATAGCTTTTTTTTTTTTTTTTAAAGAAAAAAGAAAAAAATCTAGTCTTTATTTTGTTTGGAAAATTGTGGCCCAATCTATTTTTTAAAGAAAAAAGAAAAAAATCTGCTCCTTACGTAAGGACATGCTACAATTGCGGATTGCCTGGGCACTTCTCACGAGAGTGTACTCAACCTCGAAGGGCGCCACTGACTGGTGCTAACGCGACGATGGTCAACACATCGCTTCTCCCAGCTCGGGCGGGTGCTGCCGCGGCTTTTGTTCCGGCTGCACCAACGTATGCTCCTCCTCCAGCGGCGTATGCTCCGGCTCCTCCGACATACGCTCCTGCACCTGCTTCGGTTCCTGTGGCACGTACGGGATACTGGAGGCAGACCTTGGACAGATGCGTGACATTTGTCGATAAGGCGGAGGCTAAGGAGGCGAAAGCGAAGGAAGAGGAGGAGAATGAAAGGAAGAAGAAGGAGGAGGAGAAGAATAGGGAAGAGTTTGAGCGAAAGGTTGGTGAGAGACTGGAGAGTAGGCTCGTGGCGATGTATGGACCAGCACTGCCAGGTGGCGGGAAGGCTGCGATGATAGAAGGGGGGGTTGGCAATCAGGAAAAGGACAGAGAGAGTGAAGAGGTGTTACGTTGAGAAGGGAAAACGAGGAATATAAGAAGAGACTGGCGAACGAAGGCGGTAGTAGTTAGAGTCTCGTGCAGAAATTGATAAGAGAAAATGATGAGCTTAGAAGGAAGTTGGGTGCGGAACGGGAACCACTAGAGAGTGGGGTGGAAAAGCTGATGAGGGAGATGCAGGAGCTAAAGACAGAGAGAAGCAGAGGTCAGGAAATGTTATCTGGGATGAAGGCGGAGATTGGACTGTTGAGGAAGGAGAAAATGCGGTCAATGGAAGAAACAGAGTCATGGAGAAATGAGGCCCTGAGGCCGGGGAATAAGAGGGGTACGATATCGATATCGACTCCTGAGTGCGATGATCGTCTGAGATCAAGACAGCGGGTGATGATGTCACCAAGTATAGAATTGAGAGAAGAAATGTGGAAGATGAAGGATTCTGAGTATTGCACGATGAGGGAGTTGGAAGTGCTCAAGCAAAGAAAGGTGGAGGCAGAGGTAAAAGGTATCGAGGCGGAAAGAAGGAAGCTAGAGGCGGAAGCTGAAATCACCAGGCTACGTGAACAAGTGGAGAAACTCTCCATGGAGGTGGCGACGGTGCCTACTGGTGGTACTAACTTGAAGGGCAAATTGGAAGCGGTGGTGGGCAGTGGACAAAAAACGGTGAGGAGGGGGAGGCCAAGACTCACACCGGCGAAGACGCCGAGAAAGGATGATGTGAGGAAGGACGATGCGATGACGGATGCTAACGATCGCTTTATTTTCCTACGGGAAGAAAAGAAGAGATTACGGGCGCTGAAGAAGTCGGGACTTGAAGCGATATGCCAGCAGGAGGGGATCGAGTACAAGACAGTGGAATCAACAGCTGATGAGCTGGCGGAGATCAGGGCGAATGCAAGGTTTGGAAAACAGGGTCGGGGATTGGATGATTCTGGTAGTGAACCGTCGACAAGTGGAGGAACGAACGAGACGCCTGCAGAAGTCGAAAATGTACCGTCGGACTCGGCTTGAGGAGGCGTCCCGAGCACGGCGAGATGTTGGGGTATCGTGAACTCTTTGAGAATAGCTTCCTGTGATGAGGTAAGGAAGAGTGTGAGTAACGGTGAGTACCAGGAGGCAGTGCTGTCGTTAATTATGGGTTAATATTATCTGGGGAAATTCCATGGGTTGACAAATTGCGAGGCCATTTGAGACGGGTGAAGGATGAGGGTGTTGACTTGGTGAATTGTGATGGGCCACTTGTTTACGTACTGGTCTCTCGATGGAACAAGCATATGTATGTTGGGGCTACGACGAGGAGTTTGGGATTACGATGGAGGGAGCATGTGTTTCGGGTAAGGAATCAGCAGGTTGTGGAATCTGGACGAAGAAACCACAGGCTATATAAGTGGCTTCGGAGGTGTGGGATTGAGCAATATGTGATGCTCCCGTTGGTGCGCTGCTTGGAAGGTGATCTGTTTGAGATTGAAAAGTTTTTGATCCGATTGATGTGTCCACACTTGAACAGTCGGGACAAACCAAGGCGGCATCGTAGGCGAAGGGCGAGAAAAAGGGAACGCAGGCGGCGGGCGAAGCAGAGGGTGGTGAGGAATGAGGGTGAGCATGGTTGTACACATTTGTTTTTTGAAGCATCCTGTGGGGTATCATCCGTGAGTCTAATTAAAGTTTTGGACTATTGTCGGGCGAATGGGATCAATAAGGTTGGGATTGAATGCAGTGGTGGGGCTATGCTGGTAAATCAGTGGAAATTGCTGAAGAGATGCTATGGGGGATCTGTTGTCAGCACTAGCTTTGGCACGGCACAATTGAGGAGATCCAGGGGATGGTTAGCAGATGGTGTGAAATTGGAGTTCACGACAGTAATCTCTTTTTGCTCATCGTTATCGGTCTTCAAACCTGACTTGGCTAGATTGCTTAGTTATCCTCCGTCACGAAAGGAGATATTTGCATGGGATTTTGAGCGGCTGGTCTGGATGTTTAGCGTTGTAAGATCTTTTTCTGAGAAACGAACAAGGTATACTTTGAGGTGTTTGATTTCTGGGGTTCTGCGAAGAAGGTTCGATGTGAATATTCGCAGTCGGCTTGTGATCAGAATTACGTATTGTGAATGTCTTAATAAGACAGGGATTCGAAAGTTGTGTGCTACCATGATAAATAAATTGGATATTGTCGAGGGTTGGAAATGGATGATGGTTCGACGAATGAGGCTGGTGTGGAAGAAGAATGTGAGTGTTGGCGGTATTCTGTACAATTTCCGAAAGGCAGCGAGGGAAGGGGATGTGAAATGTAAATGTGGGGATGCGGATGGGACGTTCCCGAGAAAGGATCGTCATGTCTGCTTCAGAATGAGTGAGGTGGGTTTTGTACCTGCATGGTTGAAAAATGCAAAGAACATCCCCAAACCTTCGAGACAATGCACAGTTGGGGGCTTGAAGAAGCAGATTATAGCGGCTTTCGAGCCATTTGTCACAGTAAACTCTGTGACACGTGATGAAATTGGGCACTTGCTTTCTGGTCAGCTGTTGAGGGATTGTTTTAATCGCGCTGCTACTGACAATGAGGTAGTATGTAGCACTGATGAGGCATACTTGTGGAAAGAACGTTTTGGAAGCTTGGTATGCTGTCCAATTGACCACAATCCAGGGGACTCTTTGGTCTGCTGCCCCTCGGTCTATCAGGCGGGGATGAGGAAGATGTTTTTGGGGAATGATGGCTTTGAGACTTGCTTGGAAGGAAAAGAGGAAATTAACACACGTAATGGAATACAGTACAGGGAGATGGATTTCGAGAGCTTGGGAAAATGGGACTCGAAGGGCAAATTGGGGAGATGCTATGTAGTCCCTAAGCATAAGGATACTAATAGATGGCGGCCGATTTGCCCTACCTATGAGGAGTGTGGGGTGGTGGCAAGCAAGCGAGTGTCGAGAGCAGTCAACAGGCTATTGTGGGACTTACCTTTGAGGAGTAACTTCAACTTGCGAAGTACGGAGGAGTTGGTGGAAAGAATAGCGGGGGTCAATAAGGAACTGAAAAAAGATGAGGCGTTTGTGGGTGCGGCATTTGACATAAAGGAAATGTTATGTAATCTTCCGCACGATGTCATAATGAAGGCGGTGGAGTGGGTGCTGGACTACTGGACAGCGCAGGGGGCGAAGGGTGTGTTGTTGAAAAGAAGAGGTAAGGAAGCTAAGATACGCATGGGGGATCGATAGGAGGGATGGAGAGAAGTTGGGTTTCAGGATGTGGCGCGTTTCATCAAGTTTGATTTGGGGTGTACATATGTGATGGCAGCCGGTGTGGTGTTTAGACAAAGGATGGGCATACCGATGGGTAAAGCATCGAGCCCTGCGCTGGCGTGCTTGTTGTCTGCGTACTCTGAGTTCACCTTCCTCAACTCATTGGGGTCAGAGAGGAATCTAACTCATGGTGTTCGAATTGTGGACGATGTGTCCATTTTTGTGAGATACAAGAAGAAGGATGAAAAGTCAAGGAGGATGGCTGAGGAGGTGATAAGGAAGTTTGAGAATTGTTATCACAAGAATCTGGTTTTAGAGCGTACTGACAAAGGGGGGGTTTGGGATTTTTTGGGATGTGTTGTGGGAGTGAGAGACTGGCCGGATGGCATTGTCTGTGCCGCTACACATAAGAATCAGGGAGGTGTCTGGGAAGGGCGGCTGACGTTTCAGAACTTGCAAGACTACTGCACGTACTCGAGCCGCCAGCAGAAGCTGGCTGTGATCGCTTCCTTCTTCTACAGAGCGAAGCGCTACACGACCATGAGGGGCGCCGAGGCTATTTTTCTGCTTACTCTGAAAATTGAACTGCGATTGAGGGGCTTTCCAGATGGTTACTTTGACACGGCACTCAGTAATTTTTCCAGCAAATTTGGGGGGCTCTGGGAGGACTGGGTGCAGTGTCTCACTGGGTGGGAACAGTGCGCATGGAAAAAGAGATGAGCTGGGTTGTCTTACCTTTCCAAACTGCTGTGTTTCTTTGTCTGTCTGTCTGATTTCTCTTCTTTCTTCTACATCTAATCTGTTTTTCTTGTTCTCTTTATGATTACTATGGGAGCTGTCTCGGTTCTTCTATTTTTAGGATCGTTGCCTTCTGCTGTGCACTGTTCTGTTTTCTTTTTTGTCTATGCTCTTTTCTCTGGCTCGTTTCTTTGCTAATCTCTAAAAACTGTTTTCTTTGTCTGTGCCTGTCTGATTTCTCTTCCTTGTTTCTACTTCTAAGTTTGTCTTTCCTTTTTCATTCTGATTGCTATGGGAGCTGTCTCGGTTCTTCTACTTCCAGGATCGTTGCTTTCTGCTGTCCACTGCTCTCATCTTTTTTTTTTTTTTTTTTTTTTTTTTTTTTAAG